CAGACAATCTACATCAACAATTCAACGTGTGTAATATGATCGGAATCTAATTTTGAGTAAGAACCTCAGGCCGATACAATGTTATGTAAAGTAGACGATTTATTGGAAAATCTTAATGTACAGTATTAGGTTGAAATATTGTCGTGCGTGAAAACATATTTTGCATGAAATACTACGGTTCAGAACATTGCGTTGGTTGAATTTCAATCAGGTCGGTTGCGATAGGTTAGGACTAAGGCTCGGAACTTTAAGCATTTGCATATTTGTTAGGAGAGAGCATATTGAAATTCTAGTCGATTTAAGTCGATCCATAATACGCAGATTTCAAGTATAAACGTTTTTATTATATAATTTTGCATTTTTCGTTATTTTTTATTGGAATTGGCATATTTTATATTTAAGAACTTTTGTAAGCTTATTTCATAGATTTAATGAAACAATTTTTTTTTTTTATATATATATATAAAATGATAGTTCAACAAAAAATATTAGATATATGACCACCAAAATTCTATATTTTATGTCATTTGAAGAAATTAATTAATTCATCAATGGCTATTTTAGTATTGTTCCTAATACACTTAACAATGATATTATAATCTCGGCTGTACTGAGAAATCGTAATATTGATCGCATAGGGATTCATTTTTATTTAAATTCGCTAAGACATTATTTTCGTACCATAATATAAAGTGGATGTAATCAGTATTTATACATTTATTATACTCAAGATACGCATATTTGAGTACTTTTTAACGCATTAAATTCCAAGCCTTGGTCATAATCATAGGCATGCGCGGACTTGGACTTCGGAGGTGCCAACCATTATTTTGAGTCCTATCTTGACAATACGTATAGTTATATTCAATTAATTATAATGTATAAATAACTAATAATAAAAGAAACATAAGTTTAATTTTTTATTAAATATTGTGGTATATTAGTTCTGATGAATATATTTTCCTTGAATCTTGTATATTTTTCTCATATAGCATTAATTTTTATGATTTGTACTTTTGCAGTCAATTATAATTCTTACATTATCATAAGAAGTTTTTGCGCGAAAATTTAATTTAATTAACATCAGTTGAAATACAGACCCTTTACTCTTAGACTTAAATTATAGGGCCCTATTTACAATATTTCGGGGGTGTCCTTGCACATCCGGCGCTCTGATGGTCGTGACGGAATATCGCAATTCATGTTATGCGTGCCGTTAGTATTAAACCATATTATACACGCGCATACTGGTTAACTGCATTTAAATGACAGCGATGTACATCGGATACACTGCGTAATATCAAATAATAAAATATGTCATAAATAGTGAATTCGAAAACCGAATTTTATCGGTTGGACGTGATGCGACGAGTTCAAAAGGCATTTGAAATATATGTTACAATAATATTATAGTGAAGTGTCGACGGACGACAAAATATCCTTACAACGCAACAAACGACCGTTGTTATACATAACTATGCGGCCATGTTCACGTATAGCATTCGTTTTAGTATCATCGCATAATGTATAAACACAGACGTATGAATATGTACAGACAGTTGTACCTGCACGAAATACGGTTTTCTTTCCCCTTTCACCATCGACCGCGCTACATGTTGTCTACATGGTATGTTTAAGCCGCTGCAAACGCGCATCTGCAGAATCCCGCAGCAGCGGTAGGTGAATCCCCGGGCACCGTCGTCGTCCTCGCACTCACGCGTAAATATACACTCGTAATCCGAGCACAAAAGTTGTCAGCGGTTCCATTGCATTGTCGCTGTTGTACTTTTGTTTAAAGCGAGCGTTTCGAAAAGACGAACAATTTCATCGAAAAATCAATCGTCAACTAACGACCGCAATAAAAACCGTGCCGATTCAACGACGGGGAGCGCGCTGTACACATCATTACACGTACGTACAAGATGCTGCTCAGTGAATGTTTATTACGTATTGTTTGTAAATGTGTGTGTGTGTGTGTGTGTGTGTGTGTACGTTTAGAGAGACAACTGCGAGAGTTTTGCGCGGTCCGTAGCCGCAGGACGTATGTATAGTTACCCGAACGTGTGGTGCGTCTATACATAATATATGCATACATACGTATTATTGCGAACGCGTACGTGTATAATATGATTTGCAAAACAGTTTCTGGCGAATTTGATTTACAATCGATTTTCGACAATAAAACGCCGATAAACATTATATATTATTATTATTATACGTTCATACATAATATACAAATAGATAGATACGAGCTCGCGTGCGTTTGACTTTTTCTTTTCGCTCTCAATTTCTTTAAATGGCATAATTTACGACCGACCGAGTATTTCGAAGCTATTCCCAACTGGTTGTTGTGCACCGCACGCGTATACCGATATAATAAATATGTGTGTGTTTGTATGACTCAAGGGCCAATCTACAGTGGTGGTGCGCACGAACGCATGTGCTGCATGTGTATATTCTATATCTCTCTATATCCGCTATGGAAAACCGCTGATGCCTTTTAGCCGCTACGATTCGTTCGAAATCGTTTCACCAAGACCGTGGATAATAATATTTTGTTCTACACGAACGATTTGCCAACTGTACGTGATACGAAATTGGATTTTCACACACACACACAAACACCGGCAGGTTAAATGGTTTGGTTACAATTACGGTAGGCTGAAAAGTACAATTGTAAATAGTAAAGCAAAGTATCTATGCGTATGCGTAATAGCCCTAAATAAACACACTCTACGTATTATCTTTCTACCATTGTTGTGTTAGAAACATACGACGATAAAAAAGAGCAAAGAGGTGTTATACTCTTAAAAATATGAGAAGACGTTTTTTCTGAAGGCCTTTGATCATATTCCGTTACTTAGGGCATGTTTATGTAAATAAAAAATGATTAGTATTCATTAGATACTTCAAAAAATATGTTTATATTGTCAAACAAAGAATTACAAAGTATGGATATTACATAACGAACGCACACAAACAATATGGGTGACCACAAAGCCACAAAAGTCTATTGTCTATTAACGACATAACTACTCTTTGCCTACACTTCTACATACACAGGGTGTTCAATCAGTATATTTTTACACCCTAAAAATATGGGTTTTTAGTAAATACTACTGTAAACTCTGTACAGTACGTATAGGTATACGTATATGTATATATATATATATATATAATGCATACACCGTCTATATGAGATATTATCGATGTTAATTAGATTTCTCGATGAATCCAGTTCGGCCCGTGTATTTTATACAATATATCGTGACGTAAGTACCTACGTACGCCGAGGATGATGAAAAAATAAAAATAAAACATTCTACGAGTGTGTCCATTACAGATTTTTGTTCGTTGAATTTCCTCTCATATAGGTATATATACGTAATATTTTATACGCATTGAATAACGGAAAGCCCTCCGGGGTAATTCGTCGTGGTCTGGGGTCTGTGAAACGGTTATCGCATTAATCACACAGTGAAAGGGGATGTATCGATTCGGTTTATAAATTGGATTTAAGAAGAACAAAAATCTGGAAAATGTGATTACCTAAGCTTTGTTCAAATTTTGTTGAGCGCACATGTGACATTTTTATTTCAGTCAAAGGTTATAATACCTACCTAAAGAAGTATATTACAATTTATCCAACATGCATTCGTCACAAATGCGGTTAAGTAGAACGGACAAAAAATCATTGTTCTAATGTATTATAATAAATTATGATACTACATTATTTAAAATAATTATATTTTTATAAGTTTACAAGTGAGGATAGAAAAATTATGTAAATTGTTTGATCGTTGATCGTGGCTTTCTCGGTAGAGTTTTTGTATACAGAATGTATTATAGAAACAACAAGCGTTTAAAAATATTTATAATACTACGTTTAAAATAATTTTGAATTTGTTTTTTAATTAGTTATCGATGAAATATGCATAAATATTTTATTAGGAATACCTAATAGCAGAAAATCACTATTGAAAATCGTCAAATATATTGACGGGGTCGTCAATTCTCGAAAAGTCAATGAGGGCTGCAATGGAAACTTATAATTCAACCACAAATTTTAAAGCAGAAATATATTTTATTTTTTATTTTATTTTTTTTTTTTTTTTTATTGAGAAAAGAATATTTACAATCTATGCTTCAAGGAATAATAAGCAAATTTAAAAATAAAATACAATAAAATAATTTACAACTTGATCACATGAGAAGAGAGGTCATCCATGATAGAACCCAACGTTATTGTTATTTTTTTTTTCTCAATTAATTATTAATTATTAACTTTATTTAATTAAAACTAAATGGATTGAACTTTCAATTATTTAATAAGTAACGACACCATTTTCTCTTTAGACAACGTGGGGGATTGCTAGGAAGCGAGTTGGAAGCAAGTTCGGCGATTAAAGGATTAAAATGAGACTGTAATTTTGAGTGAAATTTTTATTATGTTTTGTGACTAATTGATATACTGTTTCTATTTTAAAGTCATTTTGAATTGTGGAATTTGATACGTATCAAGCATAAATATATTTAAATTAAATATATGGAAAAAAAACCTTTAAACTTGTACGTAAAGAATGGTTGACGAATGTATTAGATATTATAATAACTCCCGGTATGCATATTAAACGTTTGGAAGAAATCATCGTTTTTATCCTAGGATGACATAGCTGTATCATCGGTTAGTGACTAATGTATACAGAATTTCTGATAAATAATATGTGTAATGTTACAATTTAGGCTATAGATACGTTATTCCGTCCAGGAAAGAACTGTGGTATGGATTCCTATAGTTGCTACATCGAAATAATTCTTTTTGGGCAGTTTTCAGTGTACAACATATTAAGACGATATTTTTCTTGTTATTGTTATTGCAGTCTGGTGTACGCGAAACCAATAATAACAGACGTCTTGAGTGCGAAACAACGCGATGTTTGAATAAGCACAATAGTAAACGTAAATAAAAATTATGTGCAGATGTGAAAGAAAAAACTCACCTGAAATTGACGGCCAACAAAACGTTCCAAAACAACGCCTTGATGATAACATCCGTCCGGACTGTGCGCATAATGGGCCGGTGGAGCCCTACGAGACCGGAGGCATGCCCCCGTGGCCGACCCGTGCCCGTCGCGGTTATGCCGAGCGGCGACGACCCCCCGAGGACCCGGAGCGTTCGCTTGCCACCGCGTTACGGGCGACGGACTGTAACAGCGGTGGCCGAGAGCACAATTGCCGCAGTGTCGTCGAACATGATGATGTCGAATCTTGAGCAGTCGAAAGTCACCGCGAAAAACCGCACTAGACGCGAGCACCAGGTGCGTACGTACAAGCTAAAGATACGTACATATATCTCGGAATACAATTATTACTTCCGTTTTGGTAAATAATATTGACTGCGCGACGTGAATAATAACGGGTAAAACGCACTAGAAACTACGGCGTTACACGCGATCGAGGAAACCGGAGAATGCACCGGAGACGAGAACGAGCGAGCGCGCGAGGACGGTTCGACGTCGGAGACTTTAATGCCCCACCGCTGCACTCGCCGTCGCCGTCGTAACAGACCTCGTCGTCAGTGACCGTGGGTAGAGGGAAATACGTTTATATGGCCCGACGATCGATGGAGAGAGAGAGAGAGAGAGAGAGAACGACGGAGAAAGGGAAGTAAAAATCCAGAATAAACGAGAGAAAAAGAGAGAGAGGGTGATGGAGAGGGAGACGAATAGAAAGAGACCGCCGGTGCGAGAAAGAGAAAGAGTGATAGATCGACGGACGGAGAGAGACAGGACGACCGTCGCCGCCGCGACACGCCTCCCGAACCTCGTAATTGGTTATACGCCGCGTATATGCGATCCTCGGGCTGACGTGCACGCCTAATAACCGCAGCCCATTATGTCACGGGACCCGGAGACCCCCGCGGGTCATCGTCGCGTACGGTCGCGTAGTCTTTCGCCGCGCGATAGGAGCCGACACGACGCGTTTTCTCGTCAGCGCACGCACATCCAACGTATACACTGCGTGTTATTATACATTACGGGCATCATCACCCTATATGTGCTGGGGAAAAAAAAAAAAACCCGTAAATTATAGTGTTATTCAGGCGCACACGACGTACGTGTACACGTTCACTTATCGACACCCATATCGAAAAAGTTTAAATATACAGCTGTAGCCGTAAAACAGACAAAAGCTATTCGAATAATAAAATCAGATCCGTGTTAAACGTTTCAGCGCTCCAGGGGCAACATTTTTTCTTCGAGGCCACTGGGCAGAGATAGCATGTTAAGTGCAGATAAGGGCGCCCCCTTACTTTTACAAAACTACGCCACCCGGGGGCAATTTCCTCCTTCAACCCCCACTTAATACGGCCCTAAAAATCCTGTTTATCTGATATTATTCCGGTTTCCGTCCGTTTTATTCAAAACGAATTCATATAATTACAATATATTACAATTGTTTTTTATAATAATCAGGTTGATCCTCCTGAAAAGTTGTAATTCGTGAGATTCGGCATTTTGTGTTGTGGTCGTATAAACAGTATAGTAGTGTCTTCAACTGTAGGAATCCCCTAATTGAGAAGTATAGAACGCGTTAGTGTTCAACATTATTCGTTCGGTTGAGTTGCAAGGTTCGAATTTCTTTTGAAATCGATATTCACGCATATTATGCAACTGGTCAATTCATACCCAAATTCCCCGGAGATAATATTATCGTATAAAGATTTCATATGATTTTTTTTTTAAAAAAAAAAGGTAAGAAAACATAATCATACAGGTTAAAAATAAATAAATACTTTGGCGTAATCATCGAGCGGAGTCCAATAATTAATTAATAAGGCAATAATTAATAGCAATAATACAGTAACAATATCTAATGTGGTTAGTATATTCGATTACCATAGACAACTCGGATCTGTTGGTAATAGGTAATAGATATTTATTGTTTGCGGTAACCATTCATATGGTTACTCGGTAACGGTTAATGTAGTTGAAGTGCCACGCGTTAAGTATTTTAATGGAGTGGTTTCAATTGAAGAAAAAAAACATTTTTCGCGTATTATGACGTGTTACAGAAGTATAAACCTATTACCATATATATATATATATATATATATATATATATATATATATATTATATGAATTCGTTTTTTACAACTGGGATTCGACGAACTTTCCTAACGGTTACCATTATAACAGCATTCAGTTTGACGTGGTAAAAGAACGGTATTCGCGCACAAACATCTCGACGTATTATTTTATAAACGATAAAATCAATATTTAAATACAGTAAAATCTCAATCTTTCATCTGCGACGGGACCAAGATGGTGACGGATAATCGAATCGGACAGATAAAATAAAAATAATTATTTTCTCTTATAGTTATAACATATGAATCTTGATGCTAAACGTATCGGTACTATATTTGACGATTAAATAGAATTATTTGAAAAAATGAGTTATTTTTGTTCGTATGAATCATGAGCTATTTTCATATATAATTTTTTTTAATTTTCTTAACAACATTAGACGCGATAAATCAAATGTTTTATCTCGTGAACTCGTACCGATCTATATACGGTACCGCAGTACGGTATTATTATCCACGGTACAACCTATCCATGGATAAAAATAAGTTCAATCATGGGATAGGGAGGGTGACGTAAAACAGAAGTCGACGGACAAGTGAGTGACGGACAATCGAGGTTTTTCAGTAATGTTTCTCGCGATCGATACGAATCCGCACGCCACACGTAAACACAACGTGTACATTCCATTAGGGCAGAGGTTCCCAACCAGGGTGCCGCGGCACCCTAGGGTACCGCGAGATTAAATTTAGGGTGTCACAAAAATATTTGAAATATATATTTATTTTTAAACGCCTTCATAAAAAAATATAGCTCTGTGAGTAATAAAACAGGCTATACTCTATGTCTATAGTATAAAACCTATTGTGTATAATTAATTATTTATATACAACATAATTTAATGAATTAATTATAAACACATATAATTTTTACATAATAATACTGAGATGTTCAATCTATTTTAATTTTCATACTGGCTCGATTGCTAACGATTTGATGTGAACTGTTTTAAAGTTATTTACGGTGAAATACTTATGACTTTATCTTATCTTTATTGTTTATTATTGCTAAATAAAACCGAAGTTACAAAATATAAATTTAAATATACAATATATTGGTACTACGTATTCGGTATAAACTATAGAGTATAGGCATAGGCTATAGGGTGCCTCTAAATTTTTAGAAAACAATAAAGGGTGTCGTGAATCATAAAAGGTTGGAAACCTCTGCATTAGGGTTTCATTACGATTTCGTTACGTTTCCATCCGTCGCCCTGCACGCTGACGCGCGCAGAAGACCGCTTCGCTCACGGAATAGCTCTGCACACAGATGGGTGGCGTGCACCGTGTACAATATAGATTTTGCACCTTGCGCGACGCCCCTTCCTGAGGTCCTTTGTACGCCCGAAAGCGCGCAACATGAATTATGAACCGCGGTACAAACACAAATGCATATCGATTCACGTGGCGCGAGCACGGCGTACGTGTAATGCGCGTACCGCGTACCTATACACGTTCTTAAGATGTCCGATCGCCGAGGTGGTCGCACCGTCCCTCCCCGTGGTAATTACGCGGGCGCGCAATGCGTGAGGTATATGTTGTTTGTGCTCGAGTGCGCGCCGTCGTAAGGTCTCAATCAAATCGGTCTCGGTCCACGCGAGAAAATCGCACGAAAATCGCCGCGGTTGATAAAATAATTATAACCCGCGCGCGCACTCACACGCAGCTCGTCTTCGCCACGTCTTCTCGGTTCTTCTCTTTGATCCCGTGCGGCGCGTGCGTGTGTGTATGTGTGTGTGTGTGTGTGTGTGTGCGACTGCACATATGCTATTATATTGTCATCGGAAAAGAACCCATTGTACCGCACAGAATTTATCCTTATGACGATTTAAAAGTACTACCGGTTAAACGCGATTATTATTGTTATTACTATTGTGTTCTAATGATTCGGTTTACTGTGCGCGCGCGTGCTATGAAAGTTGATCTTGCTTCGCGAGCAACAAACATGAATAAAATAATATAACGTTTCGGACACTGATTTTTATGTCCGTTCATGCGCGCCTAGACGATTAACACGACATTCTTTCTTTAAGTGTATTATTTATGTGCAAGTCCGAAAACATAATGCTTCCGTTCAGACGTCGAACTGTGCATCTTTTGATGGTTAAAATAAAAATACGGATCAGTTTCATAACGATAAAACCGCATAAATATTCGATTACTAAACGATTTAACAGTGCGGCGAATCCGATGCTTGTAATACAAACAGTTTTAATAGGTTTTTGTTTCAAGTTTAGTTTTTGTCCAAGTTCAAAAATGCTATAGTACGATTTATTCGTTTTTTATAATGTCGAATGTAAATACATCGTTAAAGAATATCTTTACACATTTTATTTTATATAAGTTTTTCGTAATTTATACACTCGCCGGGACCCACGTGAACTTCCAAGTTAAATCACGATGGCACATTGTTCGGGAATAAATAAATAATTATATTCGTAAATTTTATTGTATTTTATTTTATAAAACTTTTTTTGTTTGCACGAATGTTCGATAATTAATGTGTAGTAAACATAAAATATGTGATTTATGCAGTAAGGGTGAAAAATAGAAGGCACGAAACGATCATTTTTGATCGATTTTTTTTTTTTTAATATGAAAAATTTGTTTGTAAATGTAACTTTAATAAAATATTATACAGCTAAAAAAAAGGTTTATTATAATGTTTCTGAGAGTACTCGAAGACGGATTTTCCGCCAAGGTGTTGGTTAACATAACTTCTTTATTTGTCTAAGCTATATAATAATATTTGTGTAAAAAGTGTTTGAAGTTATAAAACTTATAAAGTTATATTTAATTTAAATCGATAGTATATTTTTAAATGTTTGTTATGTATAACTATACGCTATATACTTACAACAGATATCTAGAAAATTAAATTTGATAGGTTTTTTTAATACGCGAAATAACAGTGTCATTTATTTTACCTTTATTTATCTTTTTTTCTATCAAATTTTTTCAACCGCTTAAATAAGTCGATAAAAAAATACATATATTATTTTGATTTTGAGAAGGACGTATAATAAGAAACCAAAAAACAATTGTTTTTGATTGTTAGGTGTATAAACATAGGTATATAACTAGAATATGATCATAATGTCTTTCGACTTATGCAGATTAAACTTCTAGTTCTATAATGTTGAATTAAAATTATTAGTTCAATTGCTACCGTCATATCATTATACAAATTATGAATAAACAGTTAAAATAAAATAATTACGGAAATAACAATTATTATTATTTATCAATATATTATTATATTATGGTATATTGTATTAATATATGGTATTAATAGAATAATAATTATAATTGTTATTCACTGAAATCATATCGGTTTGAAATAATACATAAGTATTTATAAACCAAAATAATAGAGTCATATTTTTTTAAATCGAAAATAAAAATACTTTAATGCTTCATAAAC